TTTGCCCTGATATGTGACCCATGCAGTTATTCCGCAGTTGTGACTAGTTCATTACCAGTACTGTTTGTCTCTATTTAAAGAACAGAAAGTGTAACAGACTGTGTAATGAATGTCAATCAGATAAATACAGTTTGTAATGGTGTATCTAAGTTTTGTATTATCTGATGCAGTAACCTTCTTTCATTTGAGCAAAACTTTAATGGTACAAAAAATTAAAGTACATTGTTGTATAGAAATATTCTTATTTATTGTTTCCTGTGTGCCTTAAGTTATTCATTATTATTATTATGTAAACATACACTACCAGTCAAAGTTTTTGCACACACTGAGATTTTATACATTTGCATGTTACATCACATTTACTAAAAATACACTCAATATTCTTTGCCAACAAATAAATTCACAGTATGTTCACCATTTGAGTACCTTTATTACCAATAAAATGTCATATCTTTGATTCATCAAAGTAATATTCTGTAGCAGTTATAACAGCAGAGAAAATTCGAGGCATTCTACAAGGGACATGAAATACTGCTCTGTTTCATGGGATGAAACGGTTAACTAGTGCATTTAAAGTTAAAGGACAGCCTGGAATCTGACTATGGCATCACCACACAACCAGTTAATAGGATGTCAGACATGCACTGTTACATACTCACTCCATGTTATAAAGGAATGTTTTATTTGACTTATATTTTCCTTTATATAACTTTCCTATGGTTAGCAAGATTTTAAAATTCTGCAGTTTATGAAATTAATGGAAAAGTGGTAAAAACTTGTGGTGTGTAACTAGTCTTTTCTCAAAGGCTGAAAAGGTTTTTGGTTTGAGAAAAACTATTTTACTACTTTGTAGCGTAACAAAATTAAAAGTACGAATCCTGTCAGAAAATAACTGTTCTTGAATGTTTTGTCAGGTCATTAGACATTTTTGTGGTCAAAATCATGGACCCTAAAGCTGAAAGTGTCTGCTGTTCATATGGTATACTGTACCTTGCGACAGGCAGTCTGATATCTTCTGTTGAATCTCAATATCTTATCCTAGTGAACATAATGTTAACTAAATTACCACTACAAAACTGAAACTAGTATTAGAGTAAATTTGATTCCCATGCCAATGAAACAAGACAAAAAAGTCAGAACTGCAATCATAACTGCTATTTTTCCAGGCCCAACTGAGATGTGAGATTGAGTTACCAGCCAGACAATAACAATTGACTTACAATCTGCAAAGTGATTAGACAAATATTTCACTTGTCATGTGTTTGATATCATGTGGTTATCTCTTTTTCATTTTAACACATTTTAACATGATCCTAAATATGTAGAAGTACTGATGTGTGTTATTAATTAACTAGTGATTTGTTTAGAGTGAAAGAGGGGGAAAAAAACCAAGGAACCAAGCTAAAAAGATTACCATCTCCTATTCATGCTAACCATACTAGGTCAATTAGATACCCAAATATCAGGCAGTATGTAGTTAATGTTCCATTATTCAGTTTCTGGTCCATTCCAGGACGTTTCAGTTGTCCATCAGCTTGGCTCACTCTGTATAGCCATCAAGATGGAGAACAGCTGTCAGAAAGACCTAAGCCTTATTTTAAAATCTTGCAGGTTAGATGTTGTTAAACCGATGCACTAGGATGCCAGGGAAAGCAGAGCAAAGCAATGAATGTAAAGAATGCCTGGGAATTAATGCAACAATATAAGCATAGAGACATGATACAGCAGTATCATCGACGGCAATATCTCTTGCATGTCACTACTAACCATACACTAGAAGACTTTGAAGAGACTGATAAGACTTTTTAAAGACTGAAGTCTGATACACTCTCACATCTAAAGACATTGTGTCATTAGTCACAGTTATTTTGTCACAGGCTATCATTTTGCAAAGGGGGATCTTGCAGGATCACCATATGCAAGACTGCAAACTAGATTCCTTTTGAGATTATTTCCCATCGTTCTCCTGGTGGAAATTTACAGGAAGAGGAAACACTGTTGCACAATGGAGCAGAAACAGAAGCAGCTTTTGGCCACAGCTGCTCTTGTGCGTGCAAATGCTTTGCTGTGACAAAACAGCAGAACGGACCCTGCAGAATGTGGATATGACCCTGGCTGCATGATCGGGGGCAGCAAGGTCTGTCTGTCCTCCATGTCTGTCTACCTTACCTGAGATCCTGTACCTGTTTTGCTGCTTCCTGAACGGATCTCACCTGTTGGTTGTTGACAATGTCTACGTCACTGTGTGCATGAGCCAAAACGAAAGACCTATGATAATATTAAACACGGCTGATTTTGTCAGAACATGCAGGCAAGGAAAAAAGTGACTTAAGGTAGCTATCCTGACCACCTTCCCCAAATGATCGAGATGCCAGGAGCTCACTACAACTCTAGCAAAACTCTATAATTTTGTTCCGATAAATCGGAACATTAGATTTAGATTAAAGACAAAGATCAAGCAGAGATCTTGTATGTCTTCTTTCAAACTACAACGTGGGGACCCCAGAGGAGAAGGCACTCTCATCCACAGTAGTTTTATAAGATGGGAGTGATGAATTAGGAATGCAGCAGAGCTTGTAAACACTCAGAAGTTCGGTTAAATATGGTAGTGCTAAGATGAGGCTTATAGGGCACGGGAAAGTACTAAACGTGACCGAAAGCCAGCGTATGGAGCTGGTGTAGGGTGATCATATTTTCCTAGTTATGCTCCTTATTTTTGCTGCAATGTTCTTAATCACTTGAAAGTAATGTATTGCAATAGTCTATTATAGGTAACATTAAATCATTGATCCTAACTTTCCGTGCTTTTAGGCAGTAGAAAGCATGTTCATGTTAAGGAATTAACATGTTCATCATTGGACAGATTGAGACTGGCAGACTCAGATTGTGAGCTGAGCCGGTAAATTTGAAATTCAAGTGATGTGAATTAAGGAGGGTGGTGCAGCCTCACAATTGCAGCTTGGAGGGTTTGTCTTGCCTTTGCCCCCCTTCTCCCAAACAGGCAGAAAACACCCGAGGTCACCCATGTGTAGTGTAAGCCGGTGACCTGACGCTATCACAAATCGTTTGCTAAGAACACCCCCCTTCTACAATGTTAATGTGATGAATGTGCACTTTCTCATATGAACAGCAGAGGAGATATTCTACTAATAACCAGATATACCTGATAATTCTATCCTGCCACACATCTATTGTTCTCAAATTTTAACATGCAACCAATTTAACTGTCCAAATTAAATTGTATTTAATGTTAACTAAAGCACAGAAATTTGCAAAAATGAAATACACTTTATTTTCTACAGCAGTGGTCACGATCAATTCGCATTCACAAGTCTTTGATGAAATAAGATCAGATGATTTATTTCTTCTTGCCAGGTTTCTGCGCTTTCTCTAGTCCTTGGATATATTTACGTGGAATTTGGTAGTGATCTGCAGAAAAGGATAGTGAAAAAACATATTAAATCATTGTGTACAATCATCCCAAAGCTGTGGTTTTATAGACTCTGTAATGGGTCACCTATACCTACCTAGCAACAGGCTTCCGACGTGCTGAACTTGGTTGCCCTGGATTTGAACCAACACCTTGTCTTTGGAACCCGGTACCGGGCTGAGGAGCGAGCTAGCCTGGACGCGGTGCTGCAAGGCTGCGGCCACTGTTGCCGGATCAATTCCGTACAGTTCCAGGTTCTTCATCAATGTCACCTGCAGGGTAGGGAAGCACATGGCGACATAGGATGAGCCCGTGAGGAGGGAAAACCTGCTAATGACTGGTTACACATCTAGAGGTATTTAGGCTGACAAGCTGCTGATTTATGTTCAGCATCCAGTCAAGTTACATAGCTACTTAGATAAGTGTCACGGTGATCGTAGAGCCTGTCCAAGGAAGCACAACGGATAAGGTAGCGGACACTGTCACACACTATAGATCACAGGTGTCAGACTCCAGTCCTGGGGGGCCGGAGTCCTGCACATTTTTGGGTTTCCCCTCGTTTAACACACCTGATTCAACTCCTTGTGCTAATTACCACATAGCTGTTGAGCTGAATCATTTGTGGTGGAACAGGGAAAGAACTAAGCTACACAGGGCTCCAGCCCCCCAGGACTGCAGTTTGACACCCCTGCTATAGATAATTTACTGCAGATATTCTAATTGGTCTAAATGCATGTTTTTGGCCTGCAAGAGGAAATTAAATGACCTGGAGAAAATCTGAGCAAACATTATCTATGATGGTTTTCAGACATCCAGGCTGTGGTATGTCTGGTAGGGGTAAGTCAAAAACAACTGAAAACATTTCAACATTCACCTGAGAGGCGTCAGTAGTTAAGAGAGATTCCTCAGCATTTAAGCCTCTGTGGGTTCAGCAACACTGTGACGTCACTAGACTCATTAGATCATGACAGTCATGCAAGGATGGCTGGATTTTGGGGGTGTGAAAGAGTGTGAAATTGCCCATTCTGGGAGCTTTCAATACTTCTGTGCAAACACCAGAGAGGGATTGTGAAAGCGTGTGGCTACCGCGATTAGGAACTCATTAAATGACAGCAAGGTTCAGCAGAAACACCAGGCAGAGGGGAGATGCAGCACATCTGGAATAAGTCTTACCAGATGCTGCTCAAACAATGTGAGAAAATGCAAATGACCACAATGCATTTTGCACAATGCTATTTCCTGTATGCAATGCTTTCTTGGTACGTTACTGGTAATTCCTCCCACACAAGGGCACAGCAGCAGGACCGATTCAGGACTTTTCAGGAAATTTGAAATAGTGAAGGAATGAGGAATATGGAGGGATATTTACCTTCTTGTTGGATCCCCTAGAAGCTACTGAAATATCGATGGGCTCAATTTGGCCCTTTCTGATGACGGGTTCCCGACCTGGGAACTGCAGCTGGTAACACTGCTGCATTCGATCCATTGTTCTGCCAAGACAGACCACATGTGGGAGGCATTTAGTGACCTGGACATGGTGTCCTTAACACCACCACTGAAAATTCCATAACAAAAACAAAACATGTTGTGTCCAGGTTAACATTTACAAATGGAATTGGTCTCAAAGGCTCATTTTTACTTTCTTACATGTTCTGCACATTTGAGATAATAAATGTACGTCCCCACGTAACATTTCAGTGACACATGACGCCCTGGAGAGCTAGACCTGCATGTCAGTCTCACATGTTGCATTTATGCTGTGAATTTGGTCCATAAACTTTACCAAAGCTCTCCCCAGCTCCCGTAACCGTACACTTTATTTCCAAACCACCATTCCCAACCTTTTTCACACTCCAATAATGTTTTATTAAATATGATATACCCAAGAGTAGCATCACTCGAACATCTTTTGTGATTTTAAATGCTAATTAAACAAGTAAACATTACTTTAGAGTAGAAATACACATTATCTGTGGGTGTGTGGTTCAGTTAAAACACTGTGATTAGAAGCATCAGCTAAGTGATTTCACTGCTCAGTCCTGAACAGAATACTAAGCCTTGTTTCTCCAGCCATGTGACATTTCGTTCCATGACAAACCCAGATGTTCCACCACAACCAGTGTCTAGTTAGGCAGGACTAACAAGGCTGAGAGAACTCTACCTGGAGAAGAGATCATCCCACTTGAGTCGCCCCACCTCCTGGTACTCGAACTTGTCCAGCAAGCAGTCGCAGAGTGTGGGGTTGATGTTGACGTAGCTGAAAGCATGTTTTAAATAATTCTTCAACTAGGCTGAGAGTTCAACTGTGCAGTATAATGGTGTGAAACATCCACAAGAACATTTAAAATACACTTTTATATATATGCCTGTACATATGAGTGTGTGTATGTGTGGGTTATGTATGTATTACATTGTGGGGACCAAATGTTCCCACAATATGATGATAACCTGTTATTTTGAGGGGACCATTTTTTCAGTCCCAGCAAGGAGAAATTAAATTTTATAAAAATCTGTGACCGCGATCAAAAAACTAAAAATGTCAAAAATCTGGTTACTTATGTTTGGTTATTTATGGTTAAGGTTAGGGCTGGGTTGGGGTTAAGGTTATCATTGTTGGGACTACAGTTTTTCCCATAGAAATGAATGGACAGTCCCCACAAAGACATGAATACAAACATTTGTCCGTGCGTGTCTGTAAAAATTTATTTCGAGGTCCACTTGTTTTGGGTTCTATCTCCACAGCATTATCTATGGTGTTTGAACGCAGAATAAGTCAGCCTCACCCATTCCCCAGCAAAGTTTCTTTATGGAGTGTGAAAGTATATGCATCTGTGGAATAATGCATGACGTGAATGTCATGGCTCATTATGAAATGCACCCACGGGGTCACAGCACCTGAAAGCTTTCTCCTCCAACCCATACATAAGTAGTTTAAATGAATTCTTACTTCTTGTTTTCTTCATCTACTAGCTCGTTCTTCTTCACATATTCTGTCACAACGGTCCTCACTTCTCCTGGGGAGAGTACTGCACCCTTCCTGTCACAAAAAGAAGTGCATGTTGCTCTTCACACAGTGCCAGTGTATCAGAAATGCGGGCAGTACACTGCATGTGAACCTCTTCTTACTTCTTCTGGGAGCCATGGAAGAGGGGCTCCAGACGGGCAGTCACAGTGTAGAGCAGGGTGATCTCGGGAGGGTGATACGGCATGTCGGAGTGTCCGGCATCCTGTGTGGGAACGTCCTCTGACATGCCCTCCTCGGGCGGGCAGAAAGAGCGCAGCCTGCTGGCACAGAAGGGGAATGCGAGGGGTTCTGCTGGACTTTTGTGTGCTGGCATTGCCAAAAAACACACAAAAATCTCACAAGTAAGAGTCTGGGTTCCGGAATGTTCACCATCACAGAGGACTGTGTCAGAAAGGCTGCATTACATATTTAACAAGAAAGTGTGGGCATGAGCAGCAGGTTACTCACTCGGGATGCTTCCAGTCCACTTCAACTATGCTCTCCACACCTTTGCTGAGCTCCTTCACCTGGACGACATGGTGCTGTTGCTGCATCGACTGCAGGAACTTGGAGAGCTGAGAAATATTATGTTACATTTACCTTCTTCATCTTTTTCCTTAAAGGAAGGTTTATAGAGCTTGCAGCTGTATGCTTTATCTATTTACATACTTTTACATTTAAAATAAAGTGATGCATGATAATTCATTAGATTATATTATAATTTGCATTGTGGCCTTGCAACAGATAATATATCTATCTTCTATACCGCTTAAAAGGAACCAGATTTTGTTTTTGTTTTTTTAAATACCAGTTATAACTGTAATTACTGCAGGCTACCAATACACTGGAAAGCAAGAGCATTTAAATAGACAGCTACTGACCCATACATAGGATAAAATTCACAGTACCTTTTTGTAGCTTGATTTCTTGATGTCTAGCTGCTTCCCACTAGGACTGCAAAAGAAAATACCAACACAAATACCAGTCTGATTCATTCTGACCTGAAGATCAAACCCAGTCCAAATTAATGATAACACGCTGATATTCCAGGTACCTCTTCATTAAAGTCTTCATATAAACCCACCAACCACACACACAACAGTGAGGAAAACACTGGATTTTGTCCAGCTAGTTTTGCTCAATAAGCAACTGTGAAGGTTATAAACCGTGTCCTTGTCAGACGGCCAAGCGGAGCAGCAGACAGGAGGCACTGCATCCTACCAGCAGGAGAACATGTGGTTCCGCAGGAAAGTGCTGGTTAACAGCGGGAGCTCAGATTTCTTCACCTTACTCTTGAGGGCGTGGAGGAAGCAGCGAACGAGCAGGGCATCCATCTGCTCTGTGGGGGACACAGAGACAGATGCTATCTTTGCAGTAGATGGTAACAGGCAAACTTACATCCTACTTACTCATTTTCCCCAGTTCATTAAACAGGACTAATAAACGATTCTATAATGAAGAAATAATCACTGTTTTGCCAGAGAGAACTATAAAGTATAAATAAATACAGTATAAATAATCAGCTGGTCAGAAGAGAATAGGTAGTGGAATACAGGATACTTAATATAAAACTGTACATTTTAAAATATTTTTATAATAAGCATCCAATATTCCAGTAGCTGCTCCCTTATGACGAGCTCTCTTCTGACCACTCCTATGTGTGAGGTACTGGATACCGAATTTTCCTTCAGGATCAATAAATTAACTAAGCAAGCAAGTAAGTAAGTATGCAAGCGAGCAGGCATGTATATATGTATGCATGCATGCATGCATGTGTGTATATATATATATAAATAATGCTAAGAGACATAACGAAAATATTTTAGCTGTATGTATTTCACCAAAACCTAAATGTAATGACTTGTAACAAATGCAAGTTAATGATCTTGCCATGTGGTGAGGGTGCACAGTCACCCTGTGGAGTTCTGTTGTCTTCTAAATGTTCCTCTTCGTCCACCTGCTCCTGCCCCCCCTCTGATTCTTCCTGACTAAGACTGAGCTCTTTCAGACCGTCACTGGGAGGGTCCGTTTCTGGATCCCCGTCTTGACTGGCAGAAGCTTCCTCTTCAATCTCTCCCCCGCTCGTGCACTCTTCCTCTGCAAACTCCATGTTATGCAGGGGCAGAATAGTCGGTGGTCCTGTCTTGTCACCAAATGCCCTGAACATCAAAGGGAGGGGGGACAAATGATGTCCAAAAAACAATTTCCTGAGGATTAATGGAAACAGCCCTGAATAATTTTCACGTTAAGCCTTCAAATAAATAACCTATTCTCTACGTTTGATAGTCTTCCGTTTGGCCTGTAATGCCAATCAGGAGAAAATCTGCATACATGAGTGTGTCTGAAAGTCCGGGGACTCACCACAGACTGTCCATGTAGGCGTGCAGAATGGACACCCCTCTCCCCTTCATGGCCAAGCCCAACATCTCCGAGGTGGAAACGGCGGCGGTGCCCACGGCAACTGGGGCCCTGCAGCAGAACGCATACGCACAGGTCAGATTCCTGTCGTCTCTCAGACTGCCGGAAGTGAGCATTAGGACAGACAATCAATCACCTGTTTTTCACCACAGTTACGGCACAGCGGTCACCCTGGTTCACATCTGGGAGTCCCTCTGGGGGCACCACCACACCAGGCAACATGAGATCTGGACCGACAAGGATTGAACAGGGCGTTGATATTCATCAAGCATCAAGAAAAAGGCACCAAACCCAGGGCAAAAAAATAAGTGCGACTGGCCATACTCCCCATGCATAATATCCGTACTGCTTTCAATTATATATTATTTGAATACAGTATAAATAATCAGCTGTTCATAAGAGAGAAGCTAGTGGAATATGATACTTAAAATAATAATATGATATAATATAGTGTCTATCTTCTGATCAGCTGATTATTTATACTATATTCAAATTGTATTATATATTTTTTTCTATTTTTTTGTTCGTATTACAAATAAATTTGAAGCTTATTTGTAACACAAACAAAATATATAGTACAATACATATTATTTTCTATTTCTACAAAATAAAGCTGAAAAGTACAACCGATGACTAGTACTGCAATGGATTTAGAAAGAGAAGCTAAATTATTTTTTCAGAACACTTTAAAAAGAAGGGAAGCATGCACCCCTGTTACCTGTCTGCAGTACAGACTAGTCAGCACAAACAGAGAAGCACTTAGTAACATTCTATTTGGAAAATAAATGGAAACAACGCAAGTAATTCTTTCCAACACCCTAACCATGTATATATGAAAGCTGAATACAACGCAATCACAGAAAGCACAGTGTCTATGAATCTTAAAATAACTCCTCTTAACAGTCTTGAATCATCATCTCGGTCTGGGGAACATATTGTTCTCAGTGTGATTTGTAGAAGGCACTGTTTACCTGCCCCTCCTGCTAGTTTCTGAAGCACCGCAGGCCAGGTCATGAAAGCCGGCAGGATGTCAGGATAGCGCCAAAGAGTATAGACTGGGGAGTAAGGGATGACCATACAGACTCAGTGACGCATTGGGTAGCCACATGAACCACTGACTCAGAGCAACAAGGTGTTATTTCAGAGTACCTGTGGGATAAATATACTTCTCCAGTTCAAAGAATATGGGGTTTCTGTGCAGGACGTATATTGTGACAGCATCTCCTTTGTGTGCATACACCTTAAGCACATTCAGTTCTTCCTTGTTTGGGACCAGCTCGGACAGATCTTCCGCGGACAGTGTTGGGTAGGTGTTAGAAATCTCCGCCCTTAGCTTCCTCCTGTCACACATTTGTGGAAAACAGAGACGAAAACTTCTGTGTTAAAACTATTTTCCCTTAATTCCCTAAGTTTTCAAATTGACATTTATATATTAGTTACTGTATATACAAGAGACCCCTGGTTAGGTGCTGTGTTATTTTATAGCCTTGCAAAACAACTCGGAATGCTGTCACCTTCTTCCAATAAGACCAACATTTATTAAGACCCCGATGAAGAATCCATGTGTCACCACAAAACATCCATCTTCAGGGTAGCGTTTTTATCTGTATAATAATCAAACGTTGCGTGTCCCGACAATGACGTTAAATAGTGACGAAGGTCTGACTGGAACGTCGTGTTTCATTTAACCGAATGAAACAATATAATGCTCCTCAAACATTATATCGCAAAGCAAAGTTTTTTTTTTGTTTGTTTGTTTGTTTTTTTTTACTGCGCAACGTTACTGTACGCCACAGGGGAAAAATTCGTTTGCAACGTGGAAGATAATAATGTTACTTTTTAAACATATTAGCCGATTTGCTAATATCTTTCTGTTGTTATAAGCAACAGAAGATGAAATTCACTCGATCTCAATTACACAGGAATTTTAGGTATACAAAGAAAAATAAAGAGCAAACCCACACCTGTCAGATCCTTTAATCACTGTGTTGGATTTCACACGGAAAGGCTTAGCAAACATCCTAGCGTTGGATTGCGTGACACACCAGGTCACCTCTTCCGAAAGCTCTGAAACAATTCCTGATGAAAAAGCTTGAATTCCAAATCCAAATGGCAAACGGATACGACAACAAATGCAAGCAAAATACAATTTTGCCCTTACAACACTTCAATGCCTTATGAGCCGCTGCCTTTGCGTAACACAAAATATGTCCGTCGGGAAAACGAGTTTCAAAATTAATTTCCCCTATTACAAGGCTACAGTTGCTGTTTTCAAAGTGGCGCTATTATTTAATAAATCTTTGTCTAATATACTGAAAACGGGGCGTTTTAAGAAATTACGATTTAAAAAAAATATTTAAGTAATGTTTTCCGATCGATTTACCACGTAGAATAACATTTCCAAAGATGTGTAAAAACTCAGATATAACGGGAACATACTCTAATTTAAAACGCTGGTTTGTCGTGGTTACTAACTTTATTTTCCAAGAGATTTTTTTAAAAGAAGGCAGTGTTAAGTGGTACTTGGTCCAAACTAAAGAGATGGGTGAAGCCACCAAACTACTTAATCAGTACATGGTCACATTGAGTCTATCCCAGGAAACACGGGGCATGAGGCAGGGGGGCTCCCTGGATGGGATTAAAATTGATTTCTTCAATTTCCTCTATGCAGCTTAAACAAATTGTGTGCATACAGTGTATCAGAGTCACAGGACAGAGGGAAATGATTGGATTACATTAAAAATGACCTTCCAGTCAATACAGGAGAGATTCTTTAAGTGTCAGATCAGATCTTGTTACATGTCACAGTCAAATTGCTCTGTATCTCCACAGTATACCTATCTGTTATACCGCATTACTGTTCATTGAAATATGAGCATATTGACCTATCTCTGAAGTTCCCCTATTGGTTGTTTTTAATAGTTGCGGTTCACTTCTTGACCATGCATTTCCACTTACCGTTGTCCTTTTATGAAGACGTTCCCTTCTATTTTTAAGCTTTGATGTCACCACCGGGGCAGCTGTTCTTGGCACCTTGCGCCGAATTTGCCGTCTATGCCATAGCAAAAGCACTTGACCCGACCCGTGTTTCGCAACGCCCGGGGGGTCACGTGGGCGTCTCGCGGCTCACACCGGATCTATAGCGCGGTCCATTTTTTTCCTGCTACATACGGGGAGTGAAGGGCAGGGAGGGGAAAGCGCCTTCAAGAAATCACCTAAACGAGTTGTCAGAGCCTCTGAAAAAGGACCGGATGGAATAGATTACTTATTTGCTAGAAGATTCTGGTGTAAAATATGTTTTGTATCACTGTTTGAGTTCACTGGGTGGCTGGCTAGCTAGCTACCTATCTACCTTCTTTACAGTTTAGTTAGGTAGCTAGCTGGCACACGTGTGTCGCTATTGTCTGGGTGTTTTTTTTAAGTGTAGAACCCAGGAAAACTTAAAACATAATTGACAAATCGTCGGAAAAAGTGGAACACACGGTAAACTTTACTATTTTGATCTCAGGTGAAAGTCGTACGATCAAGTATTCGGGCTGATTTCTTAGTCCGCTCGCGGTTTTTTTTTTTTTTTTTTTAGCTTCTTAGCTCTTTTAGCCACTTTTACCAGTTAGAGGGGAGTTTCTAGAAACGGCCGCACCAGAAGTTACGGGAAAGACGATTTGTCTGCAATCTGCCACAATGTTGTCGAATACAATAAACCCCAATCAGCCAGGATTTTCCCATTTCCCAAATTTTCACGGGAAACCAACGCTGCAAATAAAGAAAAGTGCCATAACCGAAGACTACAAAGTCACGAGTCAAGTCCTTGGTTTGGGTATTAATGGTAGAGTATTGGAAATATTCCAAAAGAAAAATAAACAAAAATACGCATTAAAGGTAAGTGTCTCTTATTTTTGGAACATTTAATTATACCTGGAGTGGTTGTAGACTTTATTGAATTTACAGCATATACTATTTACATTTTATAGTATATTTTTGCGCCAGTCTGTCCAGTAATATTTTTACTGAAAAGGCTAAGGCAATGTACAAGCCTTACTCGATAGCTGCACAATCATTAGTCCTACATTAAGGGTACGAAGTGTCTTTTCCCCAAGTCGTTTTATATGCTGTACTGCAATACAATGAGTCAGTCTATGTTAATACTCGGTACAATGATCAGTGAAATGGTTGGTTGCCTTGCTCAAAGGCTGTGAAATATGGGACGTAAGCATAATCATAAATATCCATGAATAGTGTGCAACCTACAATAGGGTGACAGGTGGTATTAGAAAGAGTCTTAAGAGTAAGTTAGTGTGTGTGTGTGTGTATATGTGTGTATATGTGTGTGTGTGTGTGTGTTACATAGATATATATGTGTTACATGTAAAATGTTTAGCTGAATTTTGCAAACATGAACATAACTCAATGGGCACCTATAGCACTTGTGCTTCACACAGACATTGTCATTTAACTAAGGTACACAGAAGCGTGACATTACTGCTGTAGCTGGGAATCAATTTTTTAACTATACGCTCATGAATTGCTTTCTAGATTATGTAACAATGAAGCGCAGTGTTGCATTGTGAATGTTATTTCATCAATGCCAAACAAGACATTATTTTTGTCCTAACTTAGAAATTTTTATCTGATGCTGTGACATGATTTTCGCAAACTCAACTCCACAACCCCTACTATGGCCCTAAAAGAGGTTTATAAAACTTCAACTTTGTGAAGTCTGTTGCAGTTGTCTTTCAGTAGGACTTTGGATACATTCTAAGCATTTAGACTAGGGTGTTGATATATGTGTGGATTATTCCCTTTGGAAGTAATACTGTCAGTTTGCGTATCTCATTACAACACATTCCAGCTGTCCCGTGACATGACATGGAACAGGACATAATTTATGTCTAACATATTTCACTCCTATAAGAAATTAATTTGTAATTCGTAATACAACTAAGGACAGTGGTACCTCGGTTCTTGAACTCACTAGAACTCGAATTTCTTGAAAGTCGAACAAACCAATTTGACCTAGAACTCGATCTGAATATCAGAAGTCGAACTGTGAACGCTGACCTAATATAAATTGTGCGCGCCAGGAAATGACTCGTACTAAAATGCAATTCTTACTTGAATACCTTCTTCACAGGCTGGACGATTAACCAAATAAAGCAGCGCAACATTACAGTAACTAACAATAAATAAACCACTAACTTATGTGTACTATTAGAGCATTTATGTAATTTATTTACACTTTATTTTACCAGGTAAATTAACTGGAAACCAGTTCTCACTGTTTTGCGTGATATTCGGGAGAAATAGTAGATTACGCATCGGAACTGCCGGGGATACAAACGTCATGCGTGTAACTAAACTCTTCGGCCAATAAGGGCAAAGGTGTGTCGTCACGGAGGCAGTTCCAGTTTGTGCAGCCGGGTGAGAGGTCGCAATGCATCTAACCGTAACGCATTGCGTCAGGATCAGAATGCGTTGCTTTAAGCCAGCGTTGTAAGCAAGTTGAACGCACCCAATGACCGGACTGGGGAAACAAACTGAAACGCAGACTTAATACAGAGGACTAATGACAACAACCAGAAACAGCTGATCACATGGGGATTCCACACGAGTTTAACGAGGGGGCGTGGCACACGGAAGGAGCGGACGTTCTGGGCAGGACAGGGGTAATGTTGGGATAAGATCTTTATCGTTTTGGAAGCCATTAAGAAAAAAAATGCTCTTCTGGTTTTATCCTGTTCATTTTGTGTTTAAATGCTTAAAAAAAAAAAAAAACATATTTAGGTGTAATTTTGGGGGGCCGGGAACCAATTAATTGGTTTTCCATTATTTCTTATGGGAAAAATTCGATCAGAACTCGAACTTTTTAGGATTCGATCCGGAGTCCGGAACAGATTAAGTTCGAGAACCGAGGTACCACTGTATTTAAAAATCGTACACCATTGTATTTGAATATGTTTGTGAACAGTAGTGGTGAGTGGTGACTGAACAAAAGTGGGTTACCTTCTGTGTGAAGACCGGATCTTAGCAAGCTGACTTTCTGGAATTTTCAGAAACCCTAATATTATATGGTAGTGTAACAAAAGATTAGGTCCTACAGCACTTTGACATTTGTTCTTAAAAGGTGCTATATCAGTGAACTACTTAAAAATGTTTTTTAGGTAGAACAATGAATCAGCATTACTCGGCATTCTAAACACCTGTTCTATCACGAAATATCTAATTTCTGTGTACCTAAATGAACAGCAGGAAGAGTTATTAATAGACAGCAGATTATGTACTTGGGCTTGTAATGTGATGCTATAACCAGGAAGACCAATTAACCTGGTTTCTTTTAAATTATGCGGTGTTATAGCCCAGTGAATCATGTCACTCGTGCAAAACAAACTTCAAACCGATGCTTGTCATTTTAAGTGTTAACCCTATCAAACAGAACAGTATACTAGGAACACCTACTTATTAAAAAAATATAACATAAAAAATTCTTCTTGAATAATTCATCCATTAACTCTGAAACCAAAGAGCCAAAAAGTTATTACTGGTCTGTTCTAGCCAAAAGAAATGTATGGGTTGGAATTGCCGTCGGGCCCAGAGTCTGCTCAGTTTTTTTTTTTTTTTGTTAATTGACTCAGACTGGCACAGAACTTTTGTTAACTCTTATTTCTAGAAGGGAAGTAGAGCTGAGCCATGTGGAACCAAAATCATACATCTGTACTTTTAGACGGAACAGGCATATACAGTATATCTTAGTATTTTCCGTGAGGTTGACTAGGCTTGTGCGATTTGATGACGTTATCTGTTGACCATAACAGCCACTAAAACAGTAACCCAGTGTCAGTATCTGTCTGACTGACCAGCAACTATAATTTTTGTTGGGGATGTAGGATTACATTGCACACCTAGCATCATAACAGAAAGATTTCGACAGTTTAGTAAAAAAAAAAATGCTGTGTTGTTTATTTATTTATTTATTTATTTATGTTTATTTCTTGTAGACTTCTAACATAATTTTTAAAGCAGGGGTATCCAGCCTTATTTATAGTGAGTGCAACTTTTAGACAGAAAATAATATGGGTGTTTGATACATGATTGATGCGTGACAGTAAAAGTTGTCCGCTCTGCAGCATGCCGTGACATCACAGCGCTCATTGATACATGTTTGATGCATGACAGTAAAAGTTGTCCGCTCTGCAGCATGCTGTGACATCACAGCGCTCATTGATACATGTTTGATGCATGACAGTAAAAGTTGTCTGTTCTGCAGCATGCCGTGACATCACAGCGCTCATTGATACATGAGCATAACCACAAAAAAATTATCCAGTTTTCTAAAGTGTTTTCTAAGCTACTCATTTGCTTCCTGTGAGCTATTTTTAATTAAAGTAACTTTGACACCACTAATTTTTATGTACCATTAAAGTATATCAGTATAAATTATGTCTTGTTTGAAATTACACTGAAATAGCGTTAAAATCAATATACCGCTTAGACCTACACAAGAATTATTCTGAGGGTTCAGCATATGTCTGCAAAGCCAGAGATTTTTTAATTTTTTTTATTTTACAGCCATCAGGCATAGCAGTGGTGAGGGGTTTTGTAACATTAACATTCAAACTTATATTAAAATAGTCTTTTTTTTTTAAATAGATATTTAAATAGTGCTTTTTAGAGATCTCAAATCCCTGTAAGGTACACGTCCAAAACACACATTAAAATGAAAGAATACATTTATTGACACAGGCAGAACCTAAATTCACAAGGTAATGTTCAGCAGGTTATGCTAATTGTAGTTGTGAGTTTGTTACAGCTTGTGCTTGTTAGTCAGTTCTAATAGCTCAAACGGCTTGAAGACCCTCCCACATTACTTAAATCGGTAATTTAGAACATTTTGGTTTCTCAAAACATTACACCAATATTGGAGGAGACCGTAATTGAAAAGACCAAGACTGCGTTGGATTTGTTGTTTGAAATGCATCCAACAATCTGACAAATATGAGACAACATCTGAGTGTTTGTACGACAGTAGAAAGGCTGAAACAGCCTTTCTCCTGTAAGTTAGTCTTCCAGTGGCATTTAAGGCACTTTTGCTAGGAAATTCAGACCAGGATAAAAAAAAAAAACTATAGAGGTGTTTATTACTACAGTTATGCAACCATTTTCAGTTAAATTCTGTTTACAATTTCCAATAATTATCAAATTCTGCTTTCCTGCTCTACTGAAATTGGTTTTGGCTACACAGTTTGGTGCAAGGTTTGTACCAAACCACGAATTTTGTGTACCATTACACCCATAGTTTGTACTATACTGGGGGTAGGAGTTTCTACCCCTAGGCCATCAGAATACTAAACTCTGTTAAATAACCTTTTGACCTTTTACTCTCCTACCTATTGTGCACTTTATAACCACTGATAGGTCTCAAGTTTTCATTCTACTTATATAGTGCAATAACTAATTCACTGTGAAACGTAGTGCAATAATTTTTTATACTATATATCACCCACTGAATATATTCGTGTATATATATTTATTGTTTGTACTTTGCTGCTTTTTGTTGCCATACTGTCTTAACTACCTCTGTAAAGAGAAATGTCTGCATGTTGTATGTATGTTGTCTTGAGTTAGGGAATTAGGGAGTTGCAGCGAAAACCTGCATACACACCGGCCCTTTACGGATAAGATTGCCCACCCCTGTGCTAGATAATGCGTAGCAGTATTGGATAACTTGATAGTTAAGGGCACTTGTTCAGATTTTACTTTAGTCTTACCGAAACTAGAAGTTTCAGAGGCTGTTTCCCCTTTTGTCAGTACCAAGGCATGATAAGAAATAATATGGCTTGAAAGGTTTTGAGTGGAAACCATTTTTACAACCCAGTTCTCATTTT